GTTGCTTTTAGTCTAAGCTACAATTCTGTTAGAATAGATTTTTATTTTTATTATAAATTTAAAAAGTTATTAGAGTCCAAAGTTACTATGTAATCAAAAATTTGGCGCTTAATATATAAAAAAAATTGTTTTTATAGATTTTTAACTAATCAGATTCTTGTTATACAAAAATAGCCAATCAGATTTGAGTATAAATCTCAAAATTTGGTGCTTTTAAAAAAAAATTTGATGTTTCTTGCTGTCTGATACTGTATAACAGTGAAAATTCGAAAATATAATAATTAAATATGTCCTTATTGGTTAATAATTCCTTAATACAATCAAAAATCGGATGGTAATTTAAATAGTATATGTCTTCTTCATATTCTATTATTGGTATTTTCTTAAAAGAAATATGTAATATAATAATTTTATCTTAAAACTGCTTCTCTTGTTGAATTGTGGTAAGTAAGATTATATTGTCATATGATACTTTGTTTAAAAAATGAAGTATTTCATTACCGCATATATCAGGCAAGTTCTATTTGATAACTAATTTCATAAAGTTACCAAATTCTTCACTCGGAAAATTTGATATATTCTCAGTATTTATTGATTTAATATCAAGAGACTCAAAAACTAATGAAAGTTTAACCTTAAACAATTGATATTCCACAATATTTATCTGTATGTGCATAAATATAATTGTTTGTATTACATCAATATTGAGCTCTTAAAAATATTTTAATATATACAACAATATATATGTACATATATATATATATATTAGAGTTGTAGGTGAAACTGGCTGAAGTTGTAGTGAAACTGGTAAAAATTTGTTAAATACGATGAAACTTAATTAGTGCAATAGCAATTAAACTTAGGCTAAAACTATAGTAAGTTAAAACTATAGTAAGCTCAAACTCTCAAACTTAGCTTCATCTGCAACTCTAATAGATGGTCATATATACTATATACAATATATACCTCTTCTATTTCATCTATTTCGTCTATTTTATCTTCAAATTCTGCTTTATCATCTATTTTATTATCTATTTTATTATTTCTATCATCTGCTTTATCATCTATTTCTCTATCATCTGCTTCATTAATTTTATCATTTCTTTCTTTGCTATAATCAGACTCTAAATCATTTGTTATTTCGTCTATTTCATAATCTATATGTTCTTCAAATCCTGGTTTAATATTTTCTATTTTCCTCTAAAACCTAATACAAAACCACCAATTTTATTTTTTAGTTGATCATCATCCCATTGATTAGCTTGCTGCACATTTCTTAATATATTATTTCTTATTTCTATAGTAGCTTTTTGAAGAAGGTTTTTAATTATATTATTGTGAGTTTTTATATAGTTACGATAAGAAGAATAACAGCTAAAGTATCTATCACAGCTTAGTTCAAAACACTTGTACATTGTATACTTATATAAATATTGTGGGTTAGACTAAAATCTAATAATAGGGTTAAAATTACGATTGGATAAAAAATCTTAGATAATGTTTGAAAGTTTATAGTTAAAATACAGATATTACACTAGTATTTATATTTGTTATACCAGATCTTTTCATTTAAAATTCTTTGTTAGATTTGTACTACTAATAATGCATATATATAATTCTTAACTTTTCGAAAATTTAACTAAATTTTTAACCAATTGAGCTGATTCTATTTCTAATTGTAATCTTTTATTAACAATAAACTATACTTTATTCTTTATTATAGTACTATATGTTATGAAGCCTATAATGTTTTGTTCACTGAAATTACAAACTCAATGTGACAATTTATGCTTATAATAGCATTGAAATAAAAAACCTTTATTAAGAATAAACTCAAAATTTTTTAGTTTTAGAATGAAAAACTCAAAATTTTTTATGTTTCTGAATGAAAAAAATAATATACTATACCTAAGTCAAGTTAAAGATCTTTATTAAGAATAAACCCAAAATTTTTTACATTTTAAAATGAAAAACCTAAAATTTTTTACGTTTCAGAATGAAAAAACAATATACTATATCTGAGTCAAGCTAAAGTTAGTGTAGTCAAACTATTCAATAACTTAATGAAAATACTTTTACTGCTATTTTTATTAGAATATAAGTCGACATATAATTTTCAATATAATACGATTCAATGATCATTTCACTATGATATTAATCAATCATACTCTAGTGCAATAGTCAATAAAAGACTACTAATAAGGTAGCTTTCTTGAAATCATGCTTGAAAACTTTTCCATCCTTTATATTCTTTTTAATATTATATTAAGCAATTATGATGTGCTATTAAACAACCATAACGAACCAAAAATTTGTGCCTAGATCAAGTAGGCAAGAAACTTCAAGCAATGGTGCACAATACATAGTAAAATTTTTGTTGAATCATAATATTGCTTTTTAAAAAAAAATTTATTATGTCACTCAAAGTAAAAAATTAAAAATTTCGAATTTTACAAAACAATTTACACGTTAAATAACATACTCCGGATACCATTCAACACTCCATTCAAAATTATTATATGTTATAATAGACATACATATTCACAAAAATATCGAACTGTAGGTCAAGTTGCAAATTTTTGAATTTTGTCATTTAATATATTAAATATTTAATTTTCGACTTTTTTTTTGTACAGATGAATAGATCAATATATATCTATATGTTTATGGATCAAGTTTTTAGCAAATTGCATCCAGATAAATATGCTTTATTCAAGAAACTTTTTATTAAGCAAATAATTTATATTATCTCTTAACATTGAACATAAATTTGGAATCCGAATTCAATGCTTATGAAAATCATACGAAGCTAATTATATTTATCAAGAAAAGTTACTAGCTGATGAATTTCAAAAAAAAATTGCCAGAAAATTAATCAAATCATTAAGAAGCAATGACAATTCCAAAATTCAAGAATTCGTCCTTTAAGAAATTTAGAAGAATTTGTGTTATAATTAATTTTTTAGAAGGAATTGTTCTTATAGATTATTGTAAGTTATTATCATTAATATATATATTTTTGAATGTATTAAATAAGTATTTAATTCTCTCTTTGTTTTGATTAAAGTGTAATACTGTAATTGTGCTATTAAATTTTTTTGTCTATCCCTCCAGATAAGAAATCAACTTTATTTATGATATAAGCTAAATGATTCATTTATTGATTAATTATTAAAGATCTCTATTGATTAATCTGAAAAGCTATCATAATAGTCATCCAAGGAAGAATTATAAGACGTATGAGTTGTAAGTCAGATATTTTAAATAAATACAATCTGGTATATATAATATATTTACAAATGAGTTATGAATTATAACTTCTATTATTTAACAAATTATTCTACAAAGTTTCTAGAATCAGAAAGTTGAAGTTTTTAATATTTGTTGGTAAATTTTCTTTGTCATCTGTTGGTGTCTTCTCTATCATGTTACGTAATTATTAACAAATTCTTCTACAAAATTTCAGATCAAAATTTTAAAATCTAATAATGTAATCATATCGCATAATATAAGACAATAAGTATTTTCAAATTAGTTTGTATATATATATTTCAACTCAGATAGCTGACGTGACTAATAAGCAATATGCATAATGATTGATTTTAAAATAATATAAAATGATAAGATTTCATTTTATTGCTCTTGTCAATTAATACTAACTCACTATGAAAGAAAAAAGCAAAAAACTAATTATATACATACATTCTTTAATCTTAGTTCTTTGCGCCAACCCAAATAATCATCGGCCGAACAACAACAACAGGCAATAATAAAATATCAACCAATTCACTCTGAACTTCATTGTAGCCAAAATTAACAATTTCAAATACCTTAACTACATCATCACAATCAACCACCTTGGCACAAGCAACAAAATTAAATGTCTTATTAGGGTCAAACTTTTTATTCAAAAAAAAAAAAGCTGCTAGCCAAGTGGCTAATACAGAAACTTCTGATCCTCCGACAACTACTACTAAAAATACAACTACTACTACTAATAATACAACAACTACTACTAATGATAAGTTATTAGGTAGTAGAAAAGTATTACTAGTGGGCTTTGTATGTTTTTTTTTTTTTTTTTTTTTACTGTATATTTTAAATTTTAATACATATATTATGATTTAGTTTCAACCCCGAGTTGTTATTCCTTCTATAACTTCTTTAAATAATAAAAACCCAGGTTAATATTTATTTAATTCATTTTTATTTTATTTTTTTTAATATATAAGTTAATTATGCATTATTTAATAGAACAATCTATTACTAATTCACGCATGTTGATAAAGATCTTACATATTAGACAAAGTAATAAATCACAACTTGAGCATCCTTTTAAAAGCTATACAAAACTTGAATATCTTATAAATGAACAACAATTACAGCTTGAAAATATCCTTAAAAAGTTGGATGATACTGAAGAAATATATAATTCTGTTGAGATTAAAAGTAAAGAGGAAAAGGCATCAAAGAAAACAGCAGATTAATTGTTTCAAGTAGATTCTCATTAAACTAATTAATAGATTTACTTTTTTGTGTTATATTAATATTTATATTTATTTGTTATATATTCTTTAGAAAGTAATTAGACAACTTTCATCTGAATTATTTCATGAGCATAAGCAAATAAGCAATGAAAAGGTGAAAAAGCAGCTCAAAGATAAGTTGAAAAATGACAAAGATTGTGCTAAGCAATTACAATGTTTGAAAGAAAAGTGATTTTCATTCGATAAGTTGTGGAATGAAAAATTTTATTCAGATATCAGTATCGGTATTCTTTACTTTCATTACCCTGCTGGTCATTTTCCTTACAGACAATTTACTCGATATCAACAGGTAACAATTTATATTAATATATACCTGCGATTTACTTAAACATTATCACTATCTTTATTATTATGTATGTAATATCAGATAAATGATCTATAAAAGAAATAATTGTCAGACTATCTTAAATTTGCATACTAACTTTGTTTATAGATACTATTAGCAAATCATATTAAGAAAAGGTACTATGTTCATCGAATTAAAGAAGGTCTCTGGAGTACCTTTGGCATTAGTAAGGTAAAACTGTTTAACGAATGTGATACTAAAGAACAAATGAAAAGGTGAAAAGAGGACTCCAAGAAAGTTTATAAAGAATTATACAATCCAAGCAATCCAAATAACCCAAATTCAAATACTTTTCTTGCTTTAATCATCAAATATGCTTTTATATCTAAAGATGAATGTATCCATGCTAATGCTATTTGAACACAGGCCATTCTTGAACTTATTTTTGATGAAAATTATTTTTCGGCGAAACTTGACTCTGATATTGTTGATACCTGATACCAAAAACTTTTAAAGGAAGCAAATAATATGGTATATTCGTTTTAATTGTTTTTTTATGTTTATTTTATTTTAATATTTTTTTTTAGAATAAAAAAGACACTTGTGCCTCTTCTGCAAACTCACAAGTTGGATCTTTAGATTTGATAGATGTTGATGATCTTTATAAAACTTGTCTACTCTGATTCTGAAAGCTATCTAAGCGATAACAGCATTAAAAACAATGATAGTAATGATAATTATGATCTCGGTTCTTAAAAAAAACAATGATAGTACATTTTTTCGAAGTTGTTAATCGACGAATAGCTTTTTTAAAAGCTAACATTATTTTATTTAAAATATTATACTAATTTTCTATAATTTAATATATATTTTAAAAGCTTTTTCTTCAGAATGTGAATATGAATACAGAGAAGTTTTTTGTGCAAAAAATTGATAGCGATTGTAATAAAATACTTTTAGTTTTTTCTTATTAGCTAGCAATATTGTGCTTATTACATTTTTATTAGCTAGCAATATTGTGCTTATTACATGCTTTTAACAATATTAGCAAATAAATATATTAGTTTTTTAATTAATAAGTTGTCAAAGTTTTTTAATATATAATTTTAAGTTTTTAAATAGTGTTAGTTAACTATATTTTGTTGTTTAACATAAAAAAAAATACTGTTTTGAAACATATTAATTAATAAAATTGTTTAGCATTAAATAATGCGGTTTTAAAACACATTAGTTAATAAAAATTTTGTTGTTTAACATTAAATTATACAGTTTTAAACATGTTAGTTAATAAAATTTGTTGTTTAATACATTGTTATACTAATTTTTTAATGCGTTAATCTATGAAAAGTTCATTTTTTAATACTTTTAAGTATTAACTAATACTATATGTTAGTTAATATTTATTAAATATTTTTAAAACTTCCTGATATTAGTTGGCTATAAACCATATACTTCGTTTCATTCATTTTACTATGTTCCTGATATATTTGTAATCTAAACGAAAAATAATAAAGTAGTATATACATATTGACATGAGGCTAACATGATAGCGTGATATCTCAAATATCATAAAGTAGGTTCCAGAATGTGTTCTCTTTCATATTAATCCAAATGTATAAAAGTGAAACCATCATTTTAATAAACAAAAAAAGCTTATTTTTATAATAAAGTAGCCTGGACATAATAATATTCTTTCTTTAATTTCACACTATCATTAAGTCACCTTAATAAAATTACTATATCCTATAGAAGTCTTTTATTATTCAATCTATATAACTTCTAATAGTAGTTAGAGCTATACTACGTATTTATTGTGCATCGCTCTCCTAACCAACTGTTATATTAGTGAAATTTTTTAGATTAGGCTAAGCCACAAAAATACCTATTAGACCAGACTCAAACTAGTTTGAAATTTCAGACTGAACCGGACCGAACCCGGATTTAACTAAAAAGTTTGAATATAAAAGTTTAAGTCTGATTCGAAAATCAAATCGGACTCAAACTTGATTAAAGTTTAGTTCGAGTCCGGTTCGTAAAAGTACTAGTACTAATATACCTGATCAAATACCTATTAGAGGATATACAAGAAATCAAAAAAAAAATATAGTTGCTTTTTTAGAATATGAAAAAGGCTTCGACTCAGTTAACGCAATATCATTTATCACCTAATTATTTTTTATTAGAGGCTTACCCCCTCCTCCCTTTTAATATAAAAAATTCAGGTTCTTATATATAATTTTAACTTTTTTTTACTCCCTCCCCCCCAAAAAATCACCTGATTTTTGTCATATCCCTTAGCATAAAAATGCTAAATGTAGTATTAGAAAGAATTAAATTGCTACAAGCTACAAAGAGTTTCATCTTACAGCTCTACTACAAAAAAAGAATGAAGGTTATAACGAATTTTGAAACTATAAAAACATTTACCACAAAAGACAGGATAGACTAAAAGAAAGTTATTTCATCTCTAGTATAGAAAATATTCTATGACCCCTTATTAGTAGCAATACAAAGAAGGAAAAAAACAGGGCACCAAATAGTAGTAGAATAGCCAAAAGATATTGTGAGCAATATGATTCTATAGCAAAGTCTAAAAATAAAAGTGATAGTATATACAAATGATACAACATATATAGCAAGCTCGAAAAAAAATCTAGAAAAAACTATTGAAATTGTAGAAGAATTTTACAAAATAAATGATATTGAAATCAATCTAAAAAAGTCTAAGCTATTAATCATAAAACCAGAAAAAAAATATAACAAAGACAATATAAAAATTAACTTTGGCCCAAATAAAGAAGTAGTGATAGGAAAAAAAAAAGAAAGACCTGACAAGATTTCTGAATATATAGCTAGTAGCTAAGAATAGAAACAAGCAACTAAAAGATATTATCAAAAATAAAATATATATGATTATGAAACAAATCAGTAAAAAGAAGGCTTTTCTAGTGCATATAGTATATATTAGTATTTCTATGAACTAAACTGAACTGAACTTTTGGCCAAGTTCAAGTTCAGTTCAAAATTAAACTGAACTTGAACTTGAACTTTTTTTAAAAAAAGTTTAGTTCAGGTTTAATATTGAACTTTTAAATCAAGTTCAGGTTCAGTTTAGGTTCAGTTTAAAAGTTCATAAATATGTTCAAGTTCAATGGATTATATATATATATATATTATATATTGTCAAAAATAATTCACTTCTAATAATCAAAAATTAACTTTTCTAATGATCTTTTGGACAACATAACAAAAAATTGAACTACAGAAAAATGCTATAGGAAGTTCTAAAATAAATACTATTTTGGTTCTGTCTTTGAATAAACAGTTGTCAACAAAGCTTTTAAACGTGAAATACCAAGAAGCAGACGTAACTTGAGTAGTTTTTCTTGGGGTCAAGCTTTTGAATTGTTAGTGGACTCCTCAAGATATTTGGCATCCAAACCAGAAGAATATTCTAGAAACTGAACTTATCTCTAAATAGGTTGCTGTCGATGAAGCTTGAATAATGTGAAATATCAAGGAGCGGGCGTAACTAAAGTAGTTTTTTCTGGGGTCAAGTTTTTGTTCTTCTCTTGTAATAGACTCTCTGAGATATTCGGTATCCAAACTAGAAGGTTTATTCTAAAAGCAAGAGTAGACCTCCCCTTGCTAAAATAGTATTGTTCTGAAGAATCAAGTAAACAACTATAAAATCTATAGAAGAACCTCACACACTTTGTTGTTTTCCTACTGTTTTTTAGAAAAAATTTTGTAAAAAGTGGGCGATTTAGTTTACCTTTTCAAAAGATCGACGAATTGTTTACTTACCAAATCAGATGATATTGCTTATATTTATTACCTGTTACAACAAACATATGGATACAGAGATGTGAATAACTGGATTACATATCTCAAATGTGGCCTCTGAATAAACAATGCTTTGAGCCTAACAGTGTGAATTTCTGATCTCTCTACGGTATCGATATTAAAGAAGCTAATTTTTTTCCTTTAAGGGTTTTTTGCTTAAACATATTAATTATATAAATTAGTGTAGAAAATAATTTAGATAGTAATATGTAATTTTTATAATCTGATACAGGCTTATAATTGTGATTATCTGGTGTAGATAAAAATCTTATATTTAGTTTAGTTTTTTTTATGCATTTCTTATCTCCTTTCTTTTCTTTTATTTGTTTTTTTTATATACTTCCCTATACCTTTGTGTTTGTTTTCTTAAAAATTTTTTCTTTTTTTTTTGCTTCTCTATGAGAAGATATTATTAGATTGGTGATATTCTATTGTATAGTGGTGGTCAGATGAGCCCCTGGTGGGTATTATCTTAATTGATCATATCTTACTGGTATGGCATAGTTGCCTGTAGATGCATATAAGTAATTGGTTAGATTATACAAAATAATCGCAGGATGTCAGATCCATAGTTTCAATATTACGATATTTCTACAAATTCAGTCTTTATTGAATAAAGAATACTGGCACGATCCGCCTAAGTGAAGCAAAAAAAAAAAAAATTCACTTCCAATAATAAGTTATTTTCTTTTTTTAGAAGAAAAATATAAAAACTTCTTAGATCTAAAAATAAGTTATTTATATAATCATCAGTAGT